TATACCTTACTGTCATACTACAAATTAATTAAACATTTGAAATCTGTTAACCAGAGAATAAATTTCTAAACCTAATGTAATGTATTAATTACCATCTAATTTTACGGACGAAATTATCACCGGACACACAATGTAGATGCACTGAAGGAGTTTCCTAAGAAGATTCTTGTTCTTTTGGCAGGGCCCTGCCTCATTTTTATACCTGTCAAACAAGAGTCACTTTGGTCTACAAATAATAAATACTGAATAAATACTGATAAATGAATATAAAATGAATTAAAAGGTTACTTTTCAGGAAAGAGTAGAGTGGGTCAAAACAAATGCACAGATATCCAGGCGTTGAATACAATAAATGCACTGGTAGATAGTGCAGCTTACAACAATGTCTAAACGTTTACTTTGACCTAGATACTAAGTCAATCACTATTAAGGGAATGTGCAACCATTTATATATTATGATTGTATGATAAAGGATAAAATTTAAAATTTGTTTCACTTTAAGTTATTAAGCCGCATTAAAACTTTGCTAAACTGTGCTATCCAGAGCGAGGTTCCAACAAATTTCGAGTTACAGTGGTGAAACCAAAGGAGCTGCTAGTGAGAATCACAAGTCCTCAGTTCTCTAATTCTCTACTTACTTACTAAAGATTTTCAAAAAATATATACATTCGGTTAAATCAAATGTATTTATATTGTGCTCTGCCAATTGCATCACTCGATTTAATTGAATGTATATATATTGTTTTAAAAAAGAAAATATGTTTTATTTCAACAATTTTCAACAAAGAGTTTATAAATTTCGACTAACACTACTATATTTAAAAAATTAAATTTGGGATATTTGCTTCAAATATCTGATTATATTATTATATCAGGACCGTTGACGAGTCCAACTCGGCGCGCGTCTTGGTAGGTTATAAACCTACAAGGGACGACCAATTCAAATATATTGAGTGTGTCATCTACGATAGCTTATCTAAATTTGTAATATGTAATAATGAATAATAATAATTTATACCTTTATATCATAATTATTTTAATAAAAATTTAATCTTCTTAAATTATGAACTAGCACATAATAGTGAACAAAAGATACAATATTGAATCGTACGTCACGCCTTGTCCATTGTTAATGAAATATAACCCGGGCGTGCTATTTCATAGTCAGTAGTACTTGTCTCGGGTTAAGGTTAATATTTCAAGAAGAAAGTGGCACGCGCTACTGATTCGAAAAAGTTTTAACGGGTGATACTCGTATATGGTATAAAATATTTATTTTAAATATTTATATTAACATTAAGACCTTTGACGAGTCCAACTCGACGCGCGTCTTGGTATAAGTTATAAAATATAAACCTACAAAAGAAAATAAGCTTCTCGCATATCCGCAAAACAATTAATTCTAATGGAAATGGGAAAGATGTTCAATGTTATTAAACACGGGTCCGTATATAGCCGATTTTGCAGATTTAAGTTCAAAGTTACAGAAAAGCTAGCGGACCTAGCGGCAATATCGGATAGCTAGCGGAAGTGTTAATGAAGCTAGTACTATTCTCCGCTAGTTTGCGCGCGGCGTCCGCTATACTCCGCTAGCCATCCGCTAGGTATGAATGCTGCATTTTATTGCATCTCCGTTAGGCGCCCGCTAGCCATCCGCTGGCTTTTCTGTAACTTAAATCAGGCAATACGGACCCGTGTAAATCGCTTTTGATGGATGATACTCGTTTTAAATAAAGTATATAGCGCGCGCCGCTTTCTTCTCAATGTTCAAAATATTACCGAAGCAAAGTACATTGCATATTTGACATGAGTAGACAATATTTGTCATACGTTGTATGACCCGCCGCACGAGTGCGCGACCCCCGGCCCTGTAGATCGTAGAAACGCTTAATAAGTTATATAGTAAAACGACAATGTAGTAGAAGCTCTTACGGGCAAAAAGACGTGTTTTCTGCTACGAGTTTAGAGACCTAACCGCTAATTAAGCACAATAGTATAATGTCTAAGGATCGATAATATGTTAAGAAGTATAAATTTGGCCTTATAAGTGCTATACCAATGCGCGTTTTAAACTTTGACAGTCTATTACTCTAAGGCAAATAAAGTAATCATATTCATATTTTGTCAGCAATAACAAATAAGATCATATTATTTTCTATTTGGTGTGAAAATATGAGCTAGAACGGACATAATCTCGCTGAGTTATAGCTGTTTGAAATTTATGATGAACGCGCGGGTGCCAATTGATAACAACTAAATGCTTTTGCGCGTAGTGCGCGTCGAAAATTTGGCAAAAACGCTTGCGGAGTGACAATATTCAAACTTCGATAAAGTATATGAAGTGGGTACTTTTCGGAAAGGAAAAATTTAGACAAACACGATGTGACTATTTTTGGGTTGATTTAATACAACTGCAAAAACTTATTCAAACTTCAAGCAAAAAAGTCAAAATGTTTACCACTTTTTTGGATTTTTACCTGCGCTAAAATAGAGGGATTTGTTTTATTTTTATACTATCTTGTGCGGCTGTCTTTTAGCTATCTTCATGCAAGTTTTGCCGACATGCCAACAAAATTAATTTGCCCAAATTATCATAAAACATGGTTTTTTGGCCTATTTTTGGCCCCAAAATCGGTTTTTTGCAATTTTAACCGCGCTAACTCAGTCCAATCATCTTGAAACCACTTTTAATCGATTCTACGGTCAAAAATACGTCTAGGAATGTGTATCTGGGGTCCCTAGCGTAATGGTGGTCACAAGCAACTTACTAGGCCGCGCTCAGCCTGTCATTCCGCCGAATCTCTATTTGGTCTAAGTGACGTGAATTACGACCTCCATCGCCTTACTGGGCCGCGCTCAGCCTGTCATTCCGCCTAATCTCTATTTATGTTTATGAACATGATAGCCTGAGGTCCCCAGGTTACCATCGCCCTAAAAAAGGTGCGGATGCTCATTGGATGCTAAAGCGCATGTGACCAGCATTCACGAGATCGTTTAGAACCAGTCACAGCCGTGCACGAAATCACGTGCACTCCAACTACCAATTGGAAAGAAGTGACGTATACGCTACAAGAGCCGCGCACTGAGTTAGATTGTAAAATCTGATTATTTGACTGTAAAATTGCATAAACGCGCTTATTTGCGCGTTTAAGAGGGTTCAAATTCGTCAGGCTATGTTTATGAACATGATAGCCTGAGGTCCCCAGGTAACAAGCATCGTGATACAAAATAATATTAGGTAGTGCACCATGGATGATTGTAGCGCGATGCACTACTGGGTCGCGCGCGCGCATCCAATAATGCTTCTCGCAACGTATGCAGATCGGCGAGATGCGGAGGATTGACATCGTGAATCAACATGGATGAGTGAGCCGCGCGTGCCGACTGTACGATAGTTTTTTAGCGCTAATTTCGCGGCCAGCACAAAATTCTTGAATCAAATGCGTATTGAGCAAACTTGTATCACGTCATGACCCCCATGCACAGTCGTTTCACAATTTGGTGGATATCAAAGTTGATATAGTGATGAAAACGGGGCAAAATACGCTGATTTTAGCTGTAACATAATGTTTGCATGGTTGGACATGCTTTAAACTCTTTAGACACTTTCTTTGTTAGTTTATGAGTAAGCTAACCAATTTTTGTTAAAATTGAATCAAATGAAGGTTACTCAATACGCATTTGTTTCAAGAATTTTGTGCTGGCCGAAATTAGCGCTGAAAACCATCCTACAGTCGGCACGCGCGGCTCACTGTCGATGGCGCACTACCTATTGGTAAGCTTACTCATAAACTTACAAAGAAACTGTCCAAAAAATTTGAAGCATATCCAACCATCAGCTACAATTTACATTATTTTACAGCTAAAACATAAAAACAGTGCATTTTGCCCCATTTTCATTGTTCATTATTATATCATTATATCAACTGTACTCTGATATCCACCAAATTTTTCGGACAATTGTGAAAGCCCTATTGCATGGAAGGTCTTCACAAATTTCATTCAAGGAACCGAAGATATGAAAGAATAATATTGATACGACAAAAATCAACGAATTTTGTCAAATTACGCAAAATTACGCAACTTTTACATCTAATTTTGCTTCAAAAGCCGCGCAAAATCAAATTTAAATATGGCACCCAGGCGAAACTCACTGATCATTCTAAAAGAAAAAAGGTATAACGAATTTGGTGCTGTGAAAATGCTCACAGTCTCTAGAATGTAGAATAAAAAACAATGGTGCACAAATTTTGAAAATCCGAGCAAGTATTTATAATTATTTTTATTTTTATCGTGCACCCCGCCACTAACAATATTATTTTTTGACAGCTGATACTTCATACTTGTTATTTAAAATATGATTGTAGTATAAACTTTAGTCCATAGTCGATCTGTCTATGAAACAAATCCCAACACCCAAGGTTTCAATAAGTAAACAAACTGTTAGTCTGATAATACTAAAGCCGCGTTAGTAGTATCATGTATAGTATATAGTACAACTACATAACTATAAGTACATAGTAAACAATTTACATTTCAAATCAACTGTACATTACAAATTCAGATTTATGAGTAAAAACTAAAAAGTTTTTAAAAACTAGGAGGAAGGAAAAATGTTGTGTTAAAATATTTTATTAGCATCACTTACCTGGGGACCCCAGGCTATTATGTTCATAAACAATAAAGATTTGGCGGAATGACAGGCTGAGCGCGGCTCAGTAATAGCATCACATGTTGTTGTTAAAACGGAACTTTGAGTCATAAATTCAAAATAAATTAACATTTTTTTAGTTAATGATGGAATAATTATGATAATTGTATTTTAGCTCCTTAATTATTTACTATCATAAACATTTACGCTACGTCATTTATTATAAGTATAAGCATAACTCCATGATATATTTAAATTTTGCGTCCTTTTTGTGAAAAGGACGTGAAATCAAAAACTAAGCTGACTTATTGTATACTTTGACGACCGTAGCTGTCTCAGCCCTAATCAATTACTTTTATAAAGATGGCAGAAATCGAGCAAGTGTTTAAAAAACACTAAACTCGTTATGTCACGATTTTGGGGTCACTCTCAAACATTTAAAAGTTTAAAGAAGTCATGGACGGCACTTTAACCCGGTTCAATCTTAACTTGGAAGCCTTTGTCTCCCTCCACATGGGTTTCCTCTGAGAGGGTGGTGATGGTAAAAGAGTTCCTGGCGAGGATTGACAAAGTGAGGGGGTGGACTGTCGGGGGGCTCTGCTCCGGGACAAATTCCCGAAATCTGATGAGAATCTGGAGGGATTTGGTTTAGAGTAGTGAGTGTTAATGTGCGACATAAGGGAGGGAGGTGGGGTTTTGTTGGCTGTTCCGCTGGTATATGATGTTTTAGGTTTGGGTGTTTCATCAACATCGGCCCCGTTAAAAATCTCATCGTCAGCTTTTTTGTACTTATCTCCGGAAGACGAATCTGTTTTTACAGATTTATTATTTTGAAGGTTCACGTAAGATTTGGACCTCGAACTGTACTCTCTTGCTAAAGAAGGAGAAGAAGGTTTGACACACTGGCGATATTTACCGACAACAGTGCCCTGATCAGGTTTGGTATGTTGTGGAGGTGGAACAGGATGCTTTATCACTGCCTCCTTGTTTTTTGAGAGAGACAGAAACGAGGCTAACTTTTTAAAGCTGTTTCTCATGCTCGTCATGAAGGATTTACTTGTTTTACCGTTGAGGATCACTTGGGGTGGTTCTGGTTCCTCCGTAGAAAAGGAGTAGAAAGTACTAGAAGATGAGGTCTCAGTTCCACTTCTACCCCTGTAACTCTCCTCTCCTGATCCCACCGAACCGAACTCGGATGTCTCTACAACGTGAGACACCATCAGAGAGGAGTTCTGAGCAGTGACTGATTTCTCAGCTAGGTCAGCAGTGGGCGAGGACTCTGTGGTGAAGTTTCCCGGGGTGTAGGTTATGTCTGCGTAACTTCTTGTTTTGTCCAATGAATTGAATCCGTCTAGGGTTCCCGATCGAGTCATTACTTCTTCTGTTCTGCTGTTCAGGTTGGTACAACTGTTGGATCGTTGGGTTAAAGATCTGGGGCTGTCTTTGAATTTAACTTCTTTTTGTACTGAGCCGGTTTGTGAGGGCGGCTTGAGGTGGTTTTTTCGCTTAGCACTGGGCGGCGACTCAAAGGTGTGAGGTGGTGAGTCGGTGTACTTTTGCTGTGGTAACTTTGAAAGATTACCCCCAAGATTTTTGGATAAACGATGGTCTACAGCAGCACAGTTATTTGATTTTATTTGCGCGTTGATCATGGGCAGAGGTTTCAGCTTAACTTGAGATTTTCTGGCTATGTTACATGATTTTTGGGACTTGTTCGAGATCTCGCTGATTGTTTCTATCACAGAGTTCTCTGTAGCTTCTACGTCAGTGCTGGGACCTGGACCAACATTAAAATTCTGGAGAGTTTTCCTCTTCACACAACTTGTCGGAGAGAATTGATTTTCTTCGCGTTTGGGAGCAAATAGACCCATAGACCCACCAATAAATGATTCTCTGAACGGGTCCTTTTTCTCAATAAGATCCTCATCTGCATCATAATCTGACTCAGACCCTTGATAATCCGACCCATCTAGATCCTCTCCAGAGGAGCTATCAAAGGATTCAATAGTAGTGGGGTCATGGTGGCTCATCTCCACAAAGTTATTATAACGAATACTCCTCTGGTCCATCCCTTGATCCTCTCTTTCTAAAATCGTGTTAAGGACAGCCTCACTCCTGGACTTTACAGTGTCAAAAGAGCTGTGTTTTCTGTAAGTTGACTCTTCTGATGTGTTGAGAGGGCTGAGAGTCAGGGTTGATTTGGAACGCTGTGTGTTTGAGATGGGTCGAGGAGTGAGGGATAGGTCGTTGGTGGACCGTCGTAGATCGGAGAGGTTTCCGCTGTTGCTTAGAGATGGAGCTAGGGTGCGTGATTCAGCACTCTCGTTACGTTTTCTTGCTAGGAATACCTGGTAGGACGGTGAGTTAGATGTTTTCTGTCAATGCAGGAAAAGATCAATGAATGTTTAAAAATATTTCAATCTATGTAAAATTGAGTTAAAGTTGTCAGGATTAAAATAAGATACAAACTAAAAAATCAAACCAAAAATGCGGAAAAAAGGTTAAAACAGCTAAAAAAGAATATTAAAGAGGGAACCAGCCACCAAAACCGACCTACCCTCTTTTCCTAACCTCAGTAGCTGTAATATCAACAGTTCCCAAAGAAAATTCCTCATCGTCATCATCTGATGATGTCATCATGACGTCATCGTCATCAGACACTTGGTGGTCAGATGAAGTTAGGATGTCTTCATTGTCCGTTATTTCTGTTATCTCGTCTTTACCGCCTGTTGAGGAGTTGCTATCTGAGGAGTGATTATTAGTTATACAGGGACGTTTTTAATGATGGCTGAAGAAGGAACAAGTTGTCACACCCATAAAGTTTATCGACAAAACAATAAGTGAGGGCCGGTACGTTTCTGTGTTCTGTGCTTCTCGAAACTTGATGAATGTTGGGCAAGCAATGTTTTGCAATGCAGTCATTCAACCAGAATCAACCATTCGTTAAATAGACAGACAATATATTTGCTCTCTCTTGACGGCGACAATGGCTTGAATTGGAAAAAAAGAAGAGACTAACATTGAACTGAAAATCATTCATTTTCCAACAGTAATATAGCAAAAAGAGGCTCCTGAATAACAATTTGTTACCTTGATCCAGATCAACGTGCACGACATTAAGATCCTGAAAACTAAGTCCATTCAAAAACTCGTCTTCACGAGCAACTACTGCTGTTACATCACTGCTACCTGGGATGCTACCTTTTCACAAAGGGCTCTTGCAATCGCAGGAACTGTCATGCTTAAAACAGGAATAATCTCAGGAATACAATGATCTTGCTTCGAATAGTTTAACATTGATGACAGTGATCACGATCCAAGTGCTAAATTTAAAGCCTCGGTGTTTACAATTATAAAGCTTCGGTGAAATTCATGAAAGTAACCTTGTTCTGTGTGATGATTTGTAAAGTGAAAGTGAAAGTGAAATTAACCTAGTTCTGCGTGATGATTTGTAAAGTTGAGTCCCTGCATGAACTCCTCCTCCACACTGCTTAAGGAGAGAGAGCTTGAGTTGCTAGACACTCCTTTACGGAGATTAGATCTGTTGGAGTCGTCCTGGTCTGAACCAACTTGTCCATCCTGCTGGAAGAAGTAAGGATCGTGGTTAGATTCATTGCAGGATCTGTCGATAATTCAACAAATGTCCATAATTAAAGTCAACCTGACTGAAGCCTTTACAATTTTTATCCAGTCAGGGACAAATTGTTTCGTTGGAATGAGGGAGGCAATCCATTAAATTATAGTTTCAAAACAGCGGTTACAGACCCACGGAACTGTTACACCACTTAGCAATGAAAGTGAAAGTACTTACCATTTGATCTGTTGCTACCCCACTTAGCAGCGAAAGTGAAAGTGAAAGTGAAAGTAAAAGTGAAAGTGAAAGTACTTACCAGCGGATCTGTTGCTACCCCACTGTCCACACTAACTTCCTTGTCCCTGTGCTTCCTTTTTGCTCGTTTATTCGACGACAACTCTTTGTCTAATCTTCCTCTGTTAAAATACCGATAAAAACATTTGTTCTACGCTGATTTAAGATAAAATGGATATGAGAAAGACAAAATGTAAAATGTGGCACCTAAACTAATCAGATACCGTACTAAACCACTCACTTGAGATCAGAAGCGAAGTCAGGTTCCTCGAACTCCGCCAAGTCATGATCCTCAGTTGCCAGGTTTAACATGGTTGTAGATACAGCAGCAGAGAGGGTCCCTACTCCTTGTACCACAGAACCCACTGACGTTGTGAGGGACCCCACTCCACTTGATAGCGTGGTCAGGGTCCTCCTCATACTCTGAAATAGAGTCAGGTGAATGGTCTGCTGAAGACGATTTACACAAGTACTTTGAAAGCTCCTGCTTAATAAACTTTTCGTATCACTCAGATGTTTTAAACAACCCCCTCCAGGTGTGTGTTTGTTATTGAGTACCCCCTCCATGTGTGTGTTTGTTATTGAGTACCCCCTCCAGGTGTGTGTTTGTTATTGAGTACCCCTCCAGGTGTCTGTTTGTTATTGACTACCCCCTCCAGGTGTGTGTTTGTTATTGCGTACTATTATTCTGGTAATATTTTCTTACGTTTCAAATGGACCAAGTTTATCCGGATGCCTGGTTTTTATGAAACTGTTTTACTTATTCAGGTTATAGGGCTCAGCTCGGTTAAACAATAAACATGGAGTGTCAGGTTGTACAGTTTTAGATAGTTTACTACTGTATTATTATTTGCATTATTTAATTGCTATCGTAATTTATTTTGTGGTAAAGTCTATGTAGTAAAACCGAAGTTACATCCCTATCAAATGACAGGACAATTGTTAGCAATATTTCAGACAGAAATTTTTAACATTTAAGATATTGATTAAACTTGAATTCATTACTCTAAGTAAAGCTGAGATTCGAGTGATCAAGTGTGATAATGTAAGGGATATCCAGGAGACCATATTCGGCACACCACCAGGTTCATCAGAGGGACTCGAGGACCTCATCATGAGGTCAAAGTGAGGTTAAAATGAGGTTAAAATGAGGTCAATTCCAGCACAATAATAGTCCAGGGAGCCTTCTGCAGGCTTGTGTACAAGGAGCAACCACAACAAATACAATTACGATACATCTTGCAGACAATAGACGATGCAATAGTGAAATTAAAAGAGTACAAGGGTGTATTGATTATTTATCTTTACCTGCATCCATAGCTCTGTCATTTTGTCAATGACCCATTCTCCAGCCGATACCCAATTTATATACTGCAGCTACTGGCGGACAATAGAAAGACGTACGTGGGCTCTTCTATTAACGTGACTACAGGTAACGACAACGTAGATACAAGTAATAGTGCGTAACTGCTAATAACGTAGCTACTAAAAGTACATTATATTTTAGGATAATTGGGCAATATTAATTTCCTTCTTCCAGCACATTAGACCACAAACAGAGGATGAAGCCAGGAGTGTTCGAACGAGCAATCAAGTGTTGCGCTAAAATGGGTTTGTTGAAAAATGTGGCCTTAAGAAAAGTTGCTACATCAATTAGAATGACTTTCTTACTTGTAGCAAGTTGTGAAGCAGATATTACGGCGAAAGGGAGCGGAAGCCCAAGTACATCTTTTTATAAAATTAATCAGAGATAAAATCTAGCAATGATGATATGTAACAATAGCAATAAGATGTATGGATGCCAGAAAAGGGTGTAGGGAAAGGATTTTGGGAGATGCTTTTTCAGGAATGAAAATTGTACCAGAATTTCTCACTTTAACCCAAGGAATTTAGGCTCCCGGAATTCTTCGAAAAATAGAATTGGCAATGATAAGGCAAAAGATGGGTCCTGTGCTCTAATGAATGAAACAAGAGCCATCACCCATCAAAAATAAAACCTAGCAATAAGAGATATGAAAATTTCAGTAGACTGTGTAAACAGAGAGGGTTAAGAAATGGCGTTTGAGGAATATGCCTTAAGGAATTAGGTCTAGCAATGCAGCAAGATTTAAAGTTGAAGAGAAATTTAAAGTTCAAAGATTTTATCTGTGATTTATTAAAAGTCTCCCTGGCGACGGTGCTTTAACGTTAGTAGCATTAAAAGAGCTAGATGACGCTATAATACACTAGATGTCGAATTTCAACTATCGGTTAAGGTCCGAATGTAGTACGAACAAATTTCATAAATTTCACATTCACACAACTAGTTGGATATGACAAATCGCTCTTTCAACACATACTTATTTAATAACACATGTACAAACGAAATATTACATACGAAATTAAAGAAGGGCGGAACTAAGGGAAACTAGAAGAAACTAAGAGTAAATAGTAAAAGTGTAGAACTAAGAGTGTAAATTGTAAAACTAAGAGTGTAAAACTAAGAGTGTATAAGCTAAGTAAAATTAAGAGTTAATAAACTAGCAAGAGAACTAATTAGAGAAAATAAGAGTATAGCTGTGCGTTCCATGTGGTGTAACTGTAAGAATGCCCCCTGGTTACGAGTGATAATTCATATTCCATAACATTCAGCACGGAAATTTAATCCTCAGGCTTGTTACTGTGGGTAATTTGAGCTCAGGAGCGAGGAATATGATCTGATCTGCACGGTGGACAATTTATAGTGTTGTACTGGTTTTTTAATGTTAACATTCCAGCATTTAACCTCCCGTTACGTAGTTACGTAGTTACGTAGTTACGTAGTTACGTAGTTACGTGATTACGTAGTTACGTAGTTACGCTGATAAATTTTAATTAGTGCTACTAAAGTTTTGCTACAGGGCAGAGGAACTTTGTAAAGAATGACGAATTATTGATGAATCATATCCAGTCATCTAAAGTGCATTAATATCAGCTGACAACTAACTAGATGATATTGTAATATCCGGATAGGAACATTATATATAATATATACTGTATATTAATCGTATGTTAATCGTATTTTAGTCGTCAAAATTTCTGGTAATCGAGCATAAAACTAAAAACCTGCTCTTTTTACTTTTAGTAAAAGGTGGATGTTCAATCAAAACACTGAACGTAATTTATGATATTGTTATTTTTAGATTAATGAGGACCGTGGAAGGACAGACCCACGGAAAGTTGGAAAAGTTAAACACCTCATTAAGCAATTAGCCAATAAGCCAACATAATTAACTTATTCACATCAATAAGTTCCTTCAGGGTACATCACACATTACAGGTTCTTAATACCCTAAATACTTAACATTAATCAATAACTTACCGTAAGTTAATAATGATTGCAACACACGACCTTTCGTTCAAATTTCAAACAGTCAAATTACAAAGTAAAACTGGAGAAGTCAGCATTGGAAAAGTCAGCATTGCTTGTCCCTGCCGCTGACGTGCATTGTGATAGCGCAACAACAAGCAAGCAAGTTGCAATCCGATGAAAGAGATAGCGAGAGAGAAAAAATATCAAGTTTTAATTCTCGGTAACTGGAATCCTGCCGAGATGACATGCACATTTAAGTAACTGTGTGTATTGTAGCAACAAACTTTGAGCGTAAATCGGAGGAAGAAGCTTTTCATTTTGTTGTCATCATGCGTCATAGTGACGTCATAGTGATGTCATAGTGACGTCATCATGCGTCCTAGTGATGTCATGTCAAGAGGTGAAGAGGTGTAATGCAATCGTGTTGAGGATTGACGCACAAGGATGCATATTAGAACCTCCGGTTCATTAAGGGTGGGACCAAAAGTTTGGTAGACATTAAGTATTAATAATCGAGCTTTAGTAAAGAGACGGTGGTATTGGGTAGAAAAGACATGTGTTGTGTTCTGGAGACTATCATGATTGAGGCCGCACAATCGTACATCCAAATAGTTTGTTGTACTAGTTAAATCCTACTAGTATGTTTGTCAGGTAAGGCACAAAGAAAAATTATTGAACTTAAGTTAAATTTCCTGAAAACTTTGTCTGTAAAGTGTAAAATTTATGACAAAACAATATTTATACAGGTGTAATGGGTCATGTGATGGAGTAAATTACTCAGTTTTTTGCTTTGTAATGGACCAGTTCCATTCACGTTCGACACAAACTAGTGGACTATAAGTGACTAATAGTGTCAATGCCTATTGTTATAATATTATTATGTCATTATGATGTTAACTAATTGATATATTTATAGATCCCTTATCCATATGAATTAGCTTGTGTTAAAGCTGAAGATTGTCTATTATTTGTCTCGCAACAACACCTATTTTACATTTTTAATTTTCTCCTCTGTTCAACAAAGAAAAGATTAAAGCCTTTAATAACCTCATGATTATAACAGTAGTCAGTAGACTCGTGTTACATAAAATAATCGATATTAATGGAAAAATTCCAATTTCCACGATCTACAATGCTCGAAGGCATTCATTTTATGCATTTAATTTAACTACCTTGTTGGACTTTATTTGAACGGACATTAAAATGAACGTTAGGGCCTCCAGCGTTCAATTAATGTCCGCTCAAATAAAGTCCGATAAGGTATAAAAAAAGTAATAACTGCAGATGTACGAAAGAGAGAGATCAGCTACAAGGGCCTCACCTTCATCACACCCTAAATAACAAAGCAGCACTTACGGAATACAGGCGTATAATAGTATAATACAGATTGCAGACAGGTAACCGAGTAGCAAATGTTCATTTGTGAAGCATTATATCACTAGTCAGTAGTCATTGTACACATGAATGTGCGTTAAGACTGTTATCTAACACACCATATTACAGGAGCTAGATATCTAACACACTATATTACGGGAACTAGATATCTAACACACTATATTACGGGAGCTAGATATCTAACACACTATATTACAGGAGCTAGATTTCTAACACACCATATTACAGGAGCTAGATATCTAACACACTATATTACAGGAGCTAGATATCTAACACACCATATTACAGGAGCTAGATTTCTAACACACTATATTACAGGAGCTAGATTTCTAACACACCATATTACAGGAGCTAGATATCTAACACACCATATTACAGGAGCTAGATATCTAACACACTATATTACGGGAACTAGATATCTAACACACTATATTACGGGAGCTAGATATCTAACACACTATATTACAGGAGCTAGATTTCTAACACACCATATTACGGGAGCTAGATATCTAACACACTATATTACAGGAGCTAGATATCTAACACACTATATTACAGGAGCTAGATATCTAACACACTATATTACAGGAGCTAGATATCTAACACACTATATTACAGGAGCTAGATTTCTAACAAACTATATTACAGGAGCTAGATATCTAACACACTATATTACAGGAGCTAGATTTCTAACACACTATATTACAGGAGCTAGATATCTAACACACTATATTACAGGAGCTAGATATCTAACACACCATATTACGGGAGCTAGATATCTAACACACTATATTACAGGAGCTAGATATCTAACACACTATATTACGGGAGCTAGATATCTAACACACTATATTACGGGAGCTAAATATCTAACACACTATATTACGGGAGCTAGATATCTAACACACTATATTACAGGAGCTAGATATCTAACACACTATATTACAGGAGCTAGATATCTAACACACTATATTACGGGAGCTAGATTTCTAACACACTATATTACAGGAGCTAGATATCTAACACACTATATTACGGGAGCTAAATATCTAACACACTATATTACAGGAGCTAGATATCTAACACACTATATTACAGGAGCTAGATATCTAACACACTATATTACAGGAGCTAGATATCTAACACACTATATTACAGGAGCTAGATATCTAACACACTATATTACAGGAGCTAGATATCTAACACACTATATTACAGGAGCTAGATATCTAACACACTATATTACAGGAGCTAGATATCTAACACACTATATTACAGGAGCTAGATATCTAACACACTATATTACAGGAGCTAGATATCTAACACACTATATTACAGGAGCTAGATATCTAACACACTATATTACAGGAGCTAGATATCTAACACACTATATTACAGGAGCTAGATATCTAACACACTATATTACAGGAGCTAGATTTCTAACACACTATATTACAGGAGCTAGATATCTAACACACTATATTACAGGAGCTAGATATCTAACACACTATATTACAGGAGCTAGATATCTAACACACTATATTACAGGAGCGAGATATCTAACACACTATATTACGGGAGCTAGATTTCTAACACACTATATTACAGGAGCTAGATATCTAACACACTATATTACAGGAGCTAGATATCTAACACACTATATTACAGGAGGTAGATATCTAACACACTA